AAACTCATAAAGAAGGTCCTATTTTTTAGCCTTTGCCTTTAATTACTTTTCCAAACTGGCTTATGAATGAATTACTTCTATTCAGTTCTGCTAAAGTATGTGTGTGCATGCTTCCTTGTTGCTTGTTCATTCGTTCATTGATTCATTCATTCATTCTTGAATTTTGTAAGTTACCTGGTCACATTTCTACAGCATTCTGGTAACATTTTGGCAGTGGTTTGCAATTGTGTGCTTCCAAAGATTGAGAATTATTTGTCCAAAGTTAGCCAGTTGGCTTCATGCCTAAGGTAGGACTAGAACTCACAGTCTACTTCAAGCTTGTTCACTTTAGCATACAGAATTTTTAAATTAAACTTTTTTTTCATATTAGTATTTTGGTGGTCTTCATTTGCATGTTAAACAAAGTAATACATAAAGAAGGCACATCCATACTTTACAGTAGCGGGATTCTATGGTTTCACAACCAGTTTGGTGAGCATGTACAGCAGCTGAGCATGCGCCTTAACTGAGCTGCAAAACACGGAAATATAGGGCAGACTAGGGCAGGGGTGGATGGGTGTGGCCAATCATCGTTCATACTGGTTTGCTCAAACCATTGCAAACCATAGCAGCCCACCCGTTACTTTAGTTCTATTTACACTGCTAGAGGGTCTTTATTTTACTTTTCACAATAGAAGAGAACCAATTTACCTGGTGCTTGGAAAGGTGGCAAAATCAGATTAAATAGTTAAAAAAAGATAGAGCAACTCAATTCCCAGATTAGATTTGTCTTCTCGAATGAAAGGCGTAGGTGTTTTACCAGGTGTTTGTTAATAAATTATTAGAGGAGGATGAAGAAGAAAGTTTGAAGCTTGAGAATCCTAGACATAGGAAATAAATTTTCACCTTGAGTTTATAAGTCAGATGAATTGCATCCTTGAGTTCTAAAGAAATATGTTGATGATCTCTCTGAATTATAATATTTATATATGTAATCTCTTTGAGAAATCTTGGCAAACTGTTGTGCCTTAACTTTTAAAAGGTGAAACACAAGATTCAGGAGAAACTATAGGTCATTCAGTGCCTCTTTTCAGATTAAATTATTCTGTTTTTGATTGGGTAAGTTCTTTAGTAGATTGTGGGAATGCTGAATACCGTATATAGGATTTCGTCATTCGACAAAGTTCTTCAAATATTCAGATTGGTAAGCAACTTAAATATGACTGGATGCCACTTGATTCCACCTTTAACATTTTTATTAATGACTTAAAAAGGATGGAACAAATGCTTATTTAAGATGAATTGGATAGGTTAGTATGCTAGAAGATGGAAATAAAACTCAAATAAAATAACATATTTATTAGAGCAATGTTTCTCTATCTTGACTTTAGGATATGTGGATTTTAACTTCCAGAATTCCCCAGGTAGCTTGGGGAACGAAATTTAACAAGAGAAAAAGAAAAGCTAATCAGAAACCAAATATATACAGGATGAAGAATGCATGTGTCATCTTGGTAATAATGTATTTTGAAAAGATCTTAGAATAATAGTTGATTACAAATTCAGTTTCAATCAGCAATGTGCTGTGGATAGGAAAAAGAAAAAAGAAATGCAGTATACAGTACAAATTACCCAGAATAATAGTTCCATTTTATTCTGTGTTGATCAAGCTCTATCTTGGACATTGTATCCAACTCAAAGCACCCCACTTTGAGAATGTTCAGAAAAGCAATGGAAATTGATTGAAACTATGAAGAGAAAATGAAGAAGCAGGGTAACTTTAACCTTGAAAAGAACTCCAAAAGAGAATATAATAGCACTCTATTGTTCCAGAATGTAGGACTTGGAAAAATGGATTTTTGTTACACGAAGACTGATTCTGATTGACTGTTAGAGTAGAAAAAGTATTAGAAAAACTAAGAGCAGCTTGACAGTGGAACAAATTACACAGGGAGGCAATGGAGTGCCCTTTGTTGTATATATTGAAATATAGGCTAGATAGCCATTTGTATGGGGATCCGTTAATTTAGATTCCTGCATTTTTCAGAGTTGATAACGTAAAGTAACATAAAGTATCTATTGTCTCATGATTTTATGAGACAGTAAGAGGACAGACCAAAGGCATAGAAAGTATTATGGGAAATCCCTTATCAGCATTATTAAAGGGCAGAGTATGCTACATTCAAATCGAGTTGTCATGTTCTTTTAAAATTCTTTCCAAAATTCTTTCTTTCCTGCTGCATTGTCATTTATAAAATATAAAACCGATCTGTTTTCTCACTTTCCTATTCCATGTGGTGAACAAATGTTGAAGATTAACAATCATGAGACCCTCTACTGTTATGTTCCCAAGGATCATTTTTAAAAAAGCTTTTAAAAAAATCTTCAATCTCTGGTTCATGGCAGAACATGATCTAGTCTTAAAACGGCAGTCCATACAAACATAACTGGGCCATTCTCCAGTTATGAAAACGTAATAAAAATGGTTTGACCAAATTCTTAATGGATGCAGCTGTTTATTTTCTTGTGAAGTTTTTCATTTCAGTGAAAATATCAAAGTTCTAAATCCTATGTGGAATATGAATACAATGCAGGCAAATAATGTTACTGACCCCAAATGCCTGTTTTCCTCTTCTAGACATGGTAGATTTTAATCAGCTACTTGGTTTACTACAGAACTAAGAGTGATATAGTGCAAATATACTGATTGAAGCACACTTGAATGCCTATTTAAATTATTAATTTCTCTCCTTTCAGTGTGCCCCACAAAACATATGGACCGAAAATGATACATCAGTGTCTCGCTCCATCCACCAAAGCCACGTTGCACCACAGACTGTCCAGGAGTTGGGAGATGTTTTAGACCAGGTGTGGGAGGAGATCCCGCAGGAGACCATCCGCCACCTCATCAGGAGCATGCCCAGGCGTTATAGGGAGGCATGTTGAGGCCACACACACTACTGAGCCTAATTTTGACTTGTTTTAAGGACATTACATCACAGTTGGATCAGCCTGTAGTGTTTTTTTCCACTTTAATTTTGAGTGTAACTCCAAATCCAGACCTCCATGGGTTACTAAATTTGATTTCCATTGATAATTTTTTTGTGATTTTGTTGTCAGCACATTCAACTATGTAATGAACAAAGTATTTAATAAGAATATTTCATTCATTCAGATCTAGGATGTCTTATTTTTGTGTTCCCTTTATTTTTTTGAGCAGTGTAGTTAAAGGAGCAGGCACAATCCTTTCTGAGCAAAATTTGGCAACAGCTTTCACATCTTTATGTCTGTTTTAACTGCTGTAATATATTCTGGTTGCAACTACCCTTGAAAAATCTTGGAAGTTACAGTTCATGAATATGAGGCAATTATTTGATAACTAAAAAACAGCAAGGGCAATAGTATTTAGACTTATATACTACTCCATAGTGCTTTACAGAACTCTCTGAGCGGTTTACAAAGTCAGCATATTGTCCCAGCAACCTGGGTCTTCATTTTACCAACCTCAGAAGGACAGAAGGATAAGTCAATCTTGAGCTGGTCAGGATCAAACTCCTGGCAGTGGAATGCAGAGCACCAAACTGCAAATATCACATGTATGGTATATGCTGAAACTATCTGTACTGGTTCTTAGTTGCTTACTGGAGGCATTTACCTTTAAAGATCTAAATGTTTAGGATTTGACAACTGAGGGAATGGCTTTCTTATTCCAACTTGTCCACACATAACAATTATCAGAATAATGTTTTGAAGGTACACTCACTATTGGGGTCTTAGCGAAATGGCATGTGAAAGGGTACTTTTCTTTGAATTACTTACAGGCTTCTGAATGCCCTGTTTCAGTTGCTGCTTTTGCCATTCAATTTAATTGTTAATCAGCGTTACCATATTAATTTACATTTTAACATCTGGGATATTTTTGTTTTTTAATTTATTAGCTGCTCTCAGAACTCATTTGAGTGAAAGGACGATAAAAATAGAAATAAGGGAGAAATAGTGAAGCTGAACTTCTGGTAACTACAGGGACACTTCCATGTAATTTTCTTGCAACAGTGCTTTGACATTGCCTTCTTTGGCAATGTTTTTCAATCCCAATTTAGCCTATAGTGTTGGGATGTTTTGGCAATTTTCCATTCATGCATCAACCAAGTATGAAGTTTATAAAGGATATTTTGGTGAATGGTTTCAAATCTACTGAATTTCTACAGTTGTATATATTTTGTTTTATTATGTATCATGACCTTTCTCTAGAAGAAGTAGATCAATATATAATATTCTTTCTTCCATTTCCCCCCGTAACAATTCTGTGGAGAACTCTATGAAAGTTGAGAAAAAAGTGAGTGATCTGATGTTATGCAGTGAAATTCCCATGGCTAAGACTGATCTTGATTTGGAATCTCACAGAACTTGGTGCAAAACCAGAAACACCCCACGTTTGCAAATACTTGATGAAATAATAGTCCTGGATAAAACTTTTTGTTTTGTTTCCTAATATTTTTTTCAAGTGCAGGCTCTACTTTTTGAAATCAAATAAACCTGATCCATTGGTTACAACAGGAATTAACCAACCAGCATGTCACCTGAGCCTTATGTCATGGGCCAACTTTAAAAGACACAATATAATTTAATCTAATATTTCTATCACACTTTCTACACTATAGATAACTACTTTTTGTAAAGACTATAGATGAGTTTTGTCGGGGGGGAGATAAACACTAAATCTAACATATACTATTCAATTATTTTCTGGTATTGCTACATAAACCATTGTATTTACAGTTAATCAAAAAGAAAGTGCGATATAGTTAAATTTAAACATGAGCCAATCTAGCATTAAGTTTCCTTTACCTTCATTGTGCTTTTGGATTTTGTCTGCATTGGATTCTGAAATTATCTCTTACTTTCAGGCTTGAATTCCCATGCATGTTATATTTCTCTGGTGTAATTAGTAAATGTTAATAAGCATACAGTTTTAAAGATTATTGTTACAGAGCCATAACAACAATAGCAAGTTTACTTACATGGAATTTTGGTTAGTTCATTCATAAATTTCTCCTTTAACTTTGAAAATCCATCTTCTTTTGCACTGCCTTTTCCTCCTCCAGGAATCACTGGTTCTGTGGCATTATTTGCTATTGCAGTAGCGACTGTGCTACCTGGTAGTGCTGCTAGTGCCTGGTGTTGACTTTCTTTTGCCATTTTAGTCCCAAGGGAACTGAGATTGAAAACAAAGCAGAGAGAAAAATGTTCAAAAGGTTAAACTTCATTGTAGGTCAATAGCAAACTAGACAACAGTAACCCCAATTGGTACACCTGCTTCCTGGATAAATATCACTTCATTAGTACATTGTTTCATGTTGGCTCATACAATATGTATTAAACTATTGGGGGAAAAAGATTCTTTCAGAAGGTAAAAACTGCTTATTCTTATATCTGTCTCCTGAGTCCAAAACAGTTATTTCTGTTGGATACCTCAATATGGGCTTAGCATCTGTTGTTTAAACTTTGAATTCTGCCCTTTCATTTTGAATAGATAAGTAAAGTGACAGCAGTTCTATATATACAAACATTTCAGTGCATTTGCATAATTATTTGTACATGTCTGTTGGATTGAAAATTTTCACAGCACCACTAGAAATGAAAATAGAAAGCAATTACACCAGCATAATTAAAGCACCTCCACGCTCTCTTGAACTCTTTAACCAATGTGCTCTCTACTTCAGCAGAATTGGACATTATTTAATAATTTTTTTCCATCTTACTTTTGAGTCATATTTATTAAAAACAAATTTTCTTCCACTGACATTTGATTCCAACATTATTCAGTTAAATTATTGACCTTCCTCACTGTTAATAGTGTTAAAATCACTGCATCTGTGTGTTGTTTAGCTTCATCCAAATTAGAACTCCAGACTGTTGAAATAAATTCATAGCTACATTAATGTATTTTTGACTTAATGCTTTTTTCTTGGGCTTTGGGGAGATATCTTTATACAGACTTAGCATAAAACAATGTACATTTATGTGGACTATATAACCGTCATCTTGAATACTCCTCAGAGGATAGCTCAACATTTGTTTTAGAAGACTATTTCAGTCTTGGGCTGTCTCTTAAATAATGTTGTTTTGAGGACTAATTCCTATCATCTCTATTTCAGAAAACTATAGAGAAAATGGATTTAAGAGATAAGGATAATTTATTATTGCTCTGGGTATAAAATTGTTTGTACTTTTCCAGAAACAACTAAGTTTTATAGGTTCCCACTGGGAAATGAATTATTAAAAACCCAATAACTAAAGTTGAATAAAATAAGCCTTCTCAAACAGAGGGTGCAGTAAACAACAAACAACTAACCAAATGTTTTTTTTAAAATATCATGAATGTTGCACATACTAACATATTTTGATCATCGAAGCATTTTCTTTAATACCACTGTTCAAATGGCAAGCTGAATCAAATGATAAATGCTATGCAGTCACTATTTTCATGCTTATAACTCATTTAAAAATAAAGATAAACACTGAGCAGCCAATTATTTCTAATGTATTTAAAAATCATATGGTAGATTGAAAAAAGTAAAAAGTGCAACTGGAGAAAAAGACACGAATAACTAAGTTTTTGTTACTTTGTTTTCATGAATTTTTGAGCGATGGGTAACTTTTTCTTTTTCACTGGTACATCTTTGCATGCTGTGTTTCGTGGAAGATCTGCTCCCTCCACTTTTCTTTTCTTTGATTTGCTTACTGTATAGCACCACTATCAATAAAGGAGAATATTTGTAGCTCAGGATTAAAATGGTTTATGGGCTGTAATCCACCTGTGCTGAGGTTGTCATAAAATGAGCAGTCATAAGTCAAAGACTACCTGTATAGTGCAATATGTTTTTTCTTTTCTTTTTTTTTTTACACACAAAGCATTTTTTCCATCACTTGTTGCTTGAAAACCATGATTAAAGCTTGATTATTGCTTGTCTAATTATTTGTTTATCCTGTATAAAGGTCCCATGAGTCCATAAACAGTAGTGAAGTCATAGGGAATGAAACTGAAAAGGGTCGCATCCCCAAAGCACTATCTAATAAATCACAGTGGGAGAGTATTCTTTTTCACCTGTTTATTTTTGCAGTACTGCAAGTATAGAAGAATTTTAAAGAGGACATTCATATTGAAACTAACCAATAACATGTTGTAGACTGATTACACATCAAGTCTCAGCATATATTTGATTATCTACTAAAGAAACAATGACACAGTGATTAATTCAAAAATATAATAATGAAAGGAGATTCTATTATTCACATTCTCTACTGTGTATTATGTTGAAGAATTCTTTACCCATTTTCCAACAGAAAGGTTTTGGCAAGGGCAGCTATCCTCATTATGGCAGCTCTGTGACATGACTATGGGCAACAATAGCCTCAGAAATAATCTTTATTGTTTGCTCAATCTATGCTTTTCATTTTGCGTACTACATATCTTTTAGTGCCTTTCTCCCAACATTTGCTAAGTAAGTTTTGCAGCTACTCCAAACAGTTCCTCAGATGTTGAGGTATGGTTTGGGATGAGCCTGGGATACTTATCAGCTTTTTCATGACCTTAGACTGAGATTGAAAGATTGATACTGCTGTTCCAATGTGAAGTGAAATTTAGTGTCTTTTACTTAAATAGGCTCTATCTAACCGGAATTAAGAAAATACCACTAATCTAGAGTCCCAATAAGTGAGTCTTAGACTTCTTTAGAGAGCCTCTAAAGCAGGGGTGTCAAACTCAAGGCCTGGGGGCCAGATCCAGCCCACAGGGTGCTTAGATCTGGCCCAGGATGCAGCTTTAGAAACAGCAAGGGACCTGCCCCCTGTGGTGCCTCTGCCAGCAAAATCCAACTCTCCCGAACTCCATTTTCACTGGCAGAGATTTGCAGGAAGCTGCCACAGTTGAATATGGTGCTTGGGAGTCCATTTTTGCTGGCAAAGTGTTCAGGCCACCACAGATGCCCCTTACACAAGTGACATCAAACTGGCCATGCCCACCATGGCCACATCCACACTGGCCCTCCAAAGTCAAATACAACCCTGATGTGGCCCTCAATGAAATCAAGTTTGACACCCCTGCACTAAAGAGTCAGATGCCTTGGGACCTTTCTACAATTATAGCCTCGGTACTATGATTCATACAAAAATAATTTTCCAGATTAGGTTATAAAATCTCGGTACTTGCTCTAGACCATTGTTTCTTAAAGTGTGGTCATAGGACTTCTCTGGGTCCCCCAAGACCCCTTCAGAGTCCTCAAAAATCAAATGCCTATAATGAAAAGTAATAGAATATTAAAATACCATCTAACAATATTGAGAAGCTGTCATAGTCAATACATATTACATTAAAAGTTGTACTTAACTACAGTCATTTCAATGATCATGTACAAAGCAGAGATAATGTCTGATGATAACATCAATATCAAGATCATGTTACACCAGTTTGGTATTCTGATTAACATTTGCACTAGAAACAAGAAGCCTATCATATTTAGTTCTCTCTTGGGCATTAAAACCAGCTGGGTGACTTTGAGATAATTATTCTCCCATGGCCCAACATATCTCAAGAGTTGTGTGGAATATAGGAGGTGGGAGCAACATGTATGATATTATGTATAGAGTTGTACAAAACAAAGGCAGAATATAAATCAAATAATTTTTAAAAGCAACCAACCAACCAAACAAATGTTATTGTATGCCCTGAACATATCTAAATGCAATTGTCTTCTGATTGAAGTTACACGTGCATGGCTCCAAACACTGAATGATGCATATTTTTATAAAAACACTGAGACAACTGTCAAATACAGAGGGGTATGGAACTTGATGTTATAACTCTACCAGCAATCCAAGGATAACACTTAAAGGGTCAGGAAACTGTTATGTTGATTTGATAGTGCCTTGAGAAAATAGCGTTGTTTATTATGATTACTTCCCATAATTTTTATCACTAAAATGGTTCATCAACACAGTATTCTAATCTCATCTAAAGGAAATAACCAAGCAAATGTTTTCAGTTATCTGAAGATGTTGATGGAATGCACAATAAAGGTAGAATGTATCCAAAGTTTGCTTTATATGCTCTCAGAGGAGTACCAAATTATCTTCTAGTGAATATTACTTTAGTTTTTAAATTATATACTGTCTTATTCCTGGATGGTTTCCCAAGTTTTATTGCTTGAGTAGATTTTCTTTTCTACTGAAAATCCAGATAAAAATGATAATTCTATCAGCAAGTGTACTACTAGAGGAGCAAACACATTGGACAAAGTATATACCAACATCAAACATGGCTATAAGGTTATACAATTACCACATTTGGGACAATCAAACCATATGTCACTACTTTTAGCACCAGCATACATTCCTCTTAGGAGACGGGCTCTGCCTATAATAAAGACAGTAAAATCTTGGCCAGAAGATGCTTCCCAACAACTTCAGGATTGTTTTGAGAACACAAATTGGGACATATTTTACCACCCTGACCTAGAGGAGCACACTGCAACTGTTCTGTGCTATATCAAACACTGCACAGATACTATCACTGTTGATAAATGTATTAGGATCTATCCCAGTCAGAAACCCTGGATGACCAAGGAAGTCCAGTGCCTCTTGCGTGACAGGACCAAGGCCTTTAGGTCCAGTGATGGGGCAAGATACAGTGTTGCCAGAACTAATCTGAAGAAAGGTATTTGGAAGGCCAAGACTTATTGTAAGAGGAAGATTGAGGATAATTTTTATAGCAATAACATGGGGAAGGTGTGGTGAGGGATTCAACAAATTATTTACCATCAACCGACCAATGTCATCCCTACTGAGGGGGATGCTTCACTGGCAGAGGAACTGAATCATTTCTTTGCTTGCTTTGAAGTGGAGACATCAGAGACAGATAAAAAACGACTACCAGCCAATTGTAGCCAGCACCTCCTTGTGGAGGAACATGAGGTGAGGACCATTCTGAGGGCTGTGGACCCTAGAAAGGCTGCCAGTCCTGACCACATCTCTGGCTGAGTGCTTAAAGACTGTGCTGATCAGTTGGCTGGAGTCTTTACCAGGATCTTCAATCGGTCTTTATCCCAGTCCACTATTCCATCTTGTTTGAAGGCTTCCACCATTGTTCCACTGCCAAAGAAGTTCCCTATCAATAACCTCAATGATTACAGACCAGTGCACT